GTCATCTTTAAATTAAATAATCATATCGGTGTTTTAAGACCTTGAAAAGCGCTATCAATAATTCCTCGATTTGTGTGCGCAGTCCGTATAATTTTCTGGAAGGTTTTTGTATGAAAAATGGATTAAATTATGAATTAGAGCTTTAAAACTCAACTGAGTTGACTTCGGTCAACATTTTGAGCAAACGAACCCGGATCCAAGTTTTGACCATTCCAGTAGTTCCGTATCGTGATTTGGGACTTGGTCATATGCCCAAAATCGAATTCGAAGGTCCCTAGATCAAATTATCGCCATTTAACGGAATCTAGAAATCTAAGGCTAAAGATTTCTTAAGTTTGACCGGAGATTTGACTTTTGAGCAAATGACCTCGGAATGGAATTTTGATGATTTCAATAGTTTCGTGTGGTGATTTTGGACTTAGGAGCATGTTCGAATTTGGATTTGGAAGTCCGTAGAACAATTCGACGCATTTTGGCGAAAGTTGGAAAATATGAGATTTTTGGGAAAAAGTTTGACCTTGGTCAATATCGGATTAAGACGACCTCTTTTCAGTGTTTAAAGTGCGCGAGCAGGTCCGTAATGTGTTTTATGATTGAAATTCATATATGGTTTGTGTCTGGGAGGTTCCGGATGAGTTTCAGGGTGGTTTCGGATCATTTCGGAGAAGTTTGGGTTTTGCTGGTTTCTGGTGCGGCACTGTTCACTCGGTAATGCGAAGTTTTTATGGGAATTGCGAAAATACTGTTCATTCGCAAATGCGAAGTTTTTGTCCGCAAATGCGAACCTGGGCAGAAACTTAAGGATTGAAAATCTGTCATTGCTTCATTTTCAATTGGGATTTTTGGAGCTTGATTTTTGGGCGATTTTGAGGGTTTCTTCACGACTTCGACTGGGGTAAGTGTTCTATACCCGAAAGTGATTATATTTCATGGTTCTATGGTTATATTCACCATTTATTTAGGATTTGGATGAAAGAAATTGTAGTTTTTGTAAAACTTTCCAAAAATAAAAATTTAGGATTTGAAGGTCCATTTGACATCGGAATTCGATAATTTTTGTATGGTTGAACTCGTATCGGAATGGGTTGTCGGATTTTATGAGTTTCGTCGGATTCCGAGACGTGGGCCCCACGAGCAATTTTGAGCTAAATTTCGGATTTTAATTCGGAAAATGTGTAAATTCATATGGAATTAGTTCCTACGATTCGTGTTGAGCATTTTGAATTATTATGACTAGATTTGAAGCTTCGGACGAATTCGCGAGGCAAAGGCTTGTTGGAAATGTGAATTGGTAGCAAAGCGAGGTAAGTGTTTGGTCTAACCTTAGCTTGAGGGATTAGGAGTTGTGTCATAATTATTATGTGTTATTTGCCGAGTACGACGTATAGGCATGGTGACGAGTATCTATACGTTGGAGTCAACCATGCCCGTGAGTCTTATACTTTGATTAATGTGACTCCTATTTGACTTAACTGAAGATTTTCGCCTCTCCTATTGTTGTGTTATATTTTCATAGCTACTTGACTCGTGTTGATTTCCTTACTATTGACTTATATATTGTGGGATCGTTGCTACGTGTTAGTTTTTCCCGTTATTGAACTGTTTCCTTTATGCCAGTATTCTTTTCTGTGGTTATTCCTTTGAGCTGGTTCTACTATTTTCTCGTGATTTACAGCCCCTGAGTTAATTTACTCTTCTTACCTTGTATTATTGTCATTTGTTGTTGTTATATGTATTGCGGTGATATCCGATCCTTCTGTTGTGATGTAACTGTTGATTCTGTTGGTTGCATTGTGTATTTACTTTGGGACTACGGGTTAGATTCCCGAGAGATCCCCCTGCACATATATTGAGGATACCAAGAGATCCTCGGGATACCAAGAGATCCCTAGTATATAATGAGGATACCAAGAGATCCTCGGGATACCAAGAGATCCTCGGGATACCAAGAGATCCCTAGCATTTATATTGTGGATACCAAGAGATCCTCGGGATACCAAGAGATCTCTAGTATATAATGAGGATACCAAGAGATCCTCGGGATACCAAGAGATCCCTAGTATGTAATGAGGATACCAAGAGATCCTCGGAATACCAAGAGATCCATGGTACAGATTGAGGATACCAAGAGATCCTCGGGATACTGAGAGATCCCCGGTTATTATCCTAGTGATTGTTTTAGCCTCTGTTTTGGTTATTGCATTCCTTACTTTCTCGTATTAACATTCTTATTGTTAACTTGCAACTGAATTGCTTATCTTATCCGTCATACCTTATATCTTATTCTATCTCAGTAGGGCCCTGACCGTTGTANTACCTCGCCATATATATATATATATATATATATATATATATATATTCAATACTTCAAATTTCAACAATTGTTACATTTTTAACTCAATTGATTTCTAAGCTAAATTTTCCTTAAACCGTTTGAGGTTGTACTTTACTTAAAAAAGAATTTCTTCTATGTTTTGATTTATTGATTTCTCGTATTAAAGGTAATAATTCATTCGACATTGTACTTTAATTGAAAAGGGTATTTTCTTTATCAAATGATTTCTAAAAATAACTTCATCTTTTCTTGTTGATTTCCTATTTGGGTTGGGAGTTGTACTCTACTTTATGTTAAGTGAATGAGGCTCCTTGAACATTCTTAATTGTATTGGGTCATGGAACCTATGAACTGAGTAATATGAGGATATTGTTGTGCAATATGAGACAGAAATATGTGCGCACGAGGTGCCGTAAAAAATATGAAAGTGGGCTGAGACCTATATTATTTATGATTATGAAATGAGGCGTCACAAGGTGACCTTTACTTGAAAGAATTATATTCGAAAGATGCTTACTTGGAAGATACTTATTTAAAGGAAATATATTCGAAATATATTTATTGAAAAGCATATTATCTTAGAGATTATTACTTGAAGAATTTATAGGCGAAAGATTTATAATCGAACGACTCGATTAATTGATTGCACTTGTATTTATTATTTGTTGAGAAGCATTTATGGTGTTCTTGTTGCCTGCTAATTATATCACTGGTTGATCATTGTTGCCATCAGTGTTATCTGCTTCCTATTATTTTGTACGCTATATTGTACATGCTTATTTGGTAGTCTGGTCCTAGCCTCGTCACTACTTCGCCGAGGTTAGGCTAGGCACTTACCAGCACACGGGGTCGGTTGTGCTGATACTACACTTCTGTACATTTTGTGTACAGACCCAGGTATTTGATCGATAGTAGCTGTTCGTTGTGGTGGAGACTCAAGGTAAACCTGCTGCAGCATTCGCGGTCCCCGGAGTCACCTTCAATTGTACTTATTCCCATATGTTCCTTTTGTTCGAAACAGTGATGTATTTATTTTGTATAACTACTCTTAGAAAAGCTTATGACTTGTACTACCGGTTTTGGGAATTGTAAATTGATTAGAGAAATTTCATTTGAAGTTAATAAATATCAATGTTATTTCAGTAAATATTAGGCTTACCTAGTTTAGAGACTAGGTGCCATCACGACTCCTTCGGAGGGATTTTTGGGTCGTGATAAACACCCTTGGAAAAGAACCAATGTTGAAAGAAAAACCAAGGGATACTACCTAACTACCTAAAAAAGAAAATCTTTTTGGTGTTTTTAATCGGACTTTAATCCCTCAAGAAAATTGTCCAACAAATCCATCGTCGGGAAAAGTCCAAGCTTTTTCTGATTTTTTTTCCTGATCTAGCTAATTTAAACTATGTTAATCTTAAACTAAGCTAAAAGGTGATAAAGAAAAAAAAAACAGAAACAAAACAGTAATACTAAAAAAAACAAAAGATTATACAATTACAGCTCAAAGAGTATTCCCCCACCCCACACTTAAATAATGCATAGTCCCCGATGCATAATAAACTCAAAAATAGAGTAAGGTGGAAAAAAAGAACTCCCTGCTAGTCGAAGTCTGCCTCCTCAGGGCGTCCACCAGCTGCGGAATGGGCTCATCATTAACTCCTAAGGGTACCAAAGCCACTGGCCCCGTAACTTCATCATCATCCGCATCCTCTTCATCAGATTCCTTGTGAGTGTTTTCATCCTCAGACGGATGAATGGGACTACCTGATGCTATGCCCAACATCTCCTTGGACGAACTGGAGAGCTCGCAATTGCGTGCGCTCCTCATCTGATGTCCCTAGCCTGCTCATAATAACATTAACGGTTTTGTAAAGATACCTGTTAAAATTTTCGTCCCTCTCATTCCTAGCAGCTTGGGTGAGCTTTGATGTGGACTCTAACAAGGATGTGATGTCTAGCAATGCCTTGGGTGCCTCCACTACCTCATCATAGCCTGGGTACTCCAGTACTCCAAAAGATAGCATGTACTGTGTCAGGAGGTTGCCATAAAAAAACCTTTTGATCCTCCCTCCAAAACGGGTGCGAGCCATCACCCCAAGCATGAGCTCACCCACATTTATGGGGCGCTCGATCATCAAAAAGTTGATCAAGCACACTCGAGCTCGAATGCACTCACTATTATGCTCCACAGGCATTAATCTAGCTTGCACAAAGTTCTGGCAAACTTTAGCCGTCATGTTGAAGTCAAACCTAAGCATTTCATGGTAAACATCCCCCTTTGTCCTCGTCCACTTTGCATTGGAATCAACGCCACAAAGTGTGTGACGTATTGCTTGGTAGCGTGGGCTTTCGACAAACTTTCTAAGCCTTCGCGGGTTCGGGTTATCAACTCCCAAAAAATGACATAAGGCCTCCCTATCTATTGGAATGTTCTTTCCTCTGACGCATGACTCATCCTCTATCGTGTCCCAGTTTGCATATAATTCTCGGACCATGCTTAGATTTGCGGGGCCCGGACATTCGAGGAACTTACCCATCTTCTTGTCGATCAATGTAGCAAGTACATCGGGGAAGCTCCGTTCTAAGGCCTTCACATTTATCCCCATCTCAGACACATACCTCCTGTATGGAACAAAAGTATCATTCCATTTCTTGGCGTCATCTCCTAAAAATTCCAACCGAGGCCGTGATTGCTTCGTAGACCCGCTAGCCACTTGCTTTCCCTTGGCTTGTCGGGAAGAGCTCTTGCATTTCTTGCGTTTCTTTGGAGGGGGAGGAGTAGTGGAGGACTTCCCCACCCTTTTCCTTTAGCGGCACTGTCACGAGCCATAGCAACCTGCACATGACAAACACACAGATGAGAGTGAATCAAGAAATTTTGCCTAAGGTCATTGTGAGGGGCAAAGAGGACCCCACACTTAAAACCAAAGGCTATGCATAATTGAATCACAATATTAGCTCAACAAGCATCAATGTGTCATCACATGGCTATAGGTACTCAAGACTTCCCTATGCCATACAATTCAATTAGTCTAACATGGCCGTAGCTTAACTATGGTGCAAGCATAACAAAGCTAATGTCTACATTACTACACTAATTTAGCATACTAACTATGACTTACAAAAATTTACAACAAGATACAACGCCCTCAAAACACCCCACACTTCTCCCAAACTCAAATACAACTACACTCAGCGACTTAGACTTCACCGGTGCTCAAATTTACTCTCTTAGGCATTTTAGCAAACACCTTGTGGGCATCAATTTTGTTCTTGTATTTCAGCAATGGTAGAACAAGGTGGCCCTCCCGAATTTACATGAAGTAGAGGGAATTTTAGTTTACTACTTCAAGCACAAAGTCACAATGAATTTTGGCACTAATTTTCGTGCATATTAAGGCCACCATATCAACAAGATATATCAAAGAAACCTATGGTATTTTGGGGTTGTTTGAGAAAGAAGACTAAACTTACCTAGAAAATTCAAAATACAAGAAAAGAGAACAAGAAGAACATACTTATGGGTCTTGAGATGGAATTGAGCAAGAGAAAGTTGAAGAATTTGATAACTTGAGAGACAACAAAACAAAAAAATTTGAAGAAGAAGAACCAAGAGAGAACGTGCGGAAGAGCTAGGCGTTTTTTTTTTTGAGGTTTTAGCTATTTTAATTTAAGTGGGAATGGGTTTGGGTAGTTGGGTATGGGTTAGGTTGTGTGTGTATATGGGTATGTGGTTGGGTTATTTGGGTTTGGGTCTTTTAATTTAACAAGAAGAAAAAAACGAAAACAGAAAAAAAAAAAAAAAAAATTACCTTACCTTACCCGCCAGCCCAGCGCCCCACGCTGGGGTTGGCGCTGAAATTCTGTTGCTCACTGTAAAGTGCGCCCCAGCCAGCGTGGGGCGCTGGGCTGGGCGCTCATTTTGCTGATTTTAATTATTTTTTTGGATAAAATCCCGACTACCCGAGCACTCAATACATTACACACACCCCACACCATCCCCACCTAAGACTTTATACAACTACAAACAAAACAAAAAAAATTAGTCTACTCTAACTAAAAGAAAATAACAACTAAGCTACGGAAGTAGTAAAAATTGGGTTGCCTCCCAACGAGCGCCTGATTTAACGTCGCGGCACGACTCAACACATTTTTAAGCATCGGCCAAGTCCACCGAGGTCTTATGACGTGCAATGTCACCACCCGAATAATGTTTTATTCTCTGGCCATTTACCAAGAAGGTACCACTTGAGCTCGTATCACGCAATTGCACAGCTCCATGAGGCTCACACTTACCACAACAAAAGGACCTGTCCAACGAGACTTAAGCTTTCCGGGGAAAAGCTTCAACCTCGAATGGAACAAGAGAACTTCTTGACCCGGCTCAAACTCTCGATGTTGGATGTGCTTGTCATACCACCTTTTAGTCTTTTCTTTATATAATTTGGTATTTTTCATTTGTGTGCAACCGAAACTCATCAAGCTCGTTGAGTTGCAGCAACCTCTTCTCACCAGCTAAGTCCATATCCATATTCAGCTTTTTAATTGCCCAATAGGCTTTTTCAAGCTCGACGGGCAAATGGCACGCCTTCCCATAAACTAATATATACAGAGAAGTACCTATGGGGGTCTTGTATGCAGTTTGATATGCGCATAATGCGTCGTCTAGCTTCACGGCCCAGTCCTTTCTATTTCCACTTACCGTTTTCTCTAGAATCTGCTTTACCTCTCTGTTTGAAACTACCACTTGACCACTCGTTTGGGGGTGATAGGCAGTGGAAACCTTGTGCTTAACTCCACACTTTGCAAGAACATTATTCAGCAATTTGTTGCAGAAGTGAGTTCCTCCGTGGCTTATCAACACTCTTGGAGTCCCAAAGCGTGAGAAGATGTGCTTCTTCACAAAGCTTACCACAACCTTTGCATTATTAGTAGGAAGAGCAATGGCCTCCACCCACTTAGAAACATAGTCGACCGCCACCAAGATGTACCTGTGACCATTAGAGTATGGGAACGGTCCCATGAAATCAATCCCCCAAATATCGAAAACCTCTACTACCAGAATATTTTGCAGAGGCATCTCGTGCTTCTTCATGATTGTTCCGATTCTTTGGCATCTATCACACTTTTTAACAAAAGCATGTGCATCCTTAAATAATTTTGGCCAATAAAAACCTGATTGTAGCACTTTTTGGGCGGTTGTATCCCCACCGTGATGATCTCCGTATGGCGAAGCGTGACAGTCATGTAGTATTGCGCCCATCTCCTCCTCAGGAACACACCTTCGTACCAACTGATACTGCTTATATAAGAATGGCTCATCCCATAAGTAGAACATCACATTATGTAGAAATCTGCTTCTATTATCAGGTGTCAAATCTGGTGGTGTCAGCCCACTTGCAATAAAATTCACATAATCTGCATACCATGGGGCTTCACTTGAGGTGATTGCTAATAATTGCTCATCAGGAAATGTCTCTTTGATTGACCCTCCTTCAGCTACATGGCTCCGATTTTCTAATCTGGACAAGTGATCAGCCACTTGATTCTCTGTCCCTTTTCGATCTCGGATCTCTAAGTCAAACTCTTGCAAGAGGAGGACCCAACGAATCAGCCTCGGCTTGGCGTCTTTCTTTTCAAACAAGTATCTGATAGCTGAATGATCTGTGTAGACGATGACTTTGGTTCACACTAGATAGGATTTGAACTTGTCAAACGCCCACACCACTGCAAGCAACTCTTTTTCAGTAACCGTGTAGTTCATCTGGGCTGGATTCAGAGTTTTGCTCGCATAGTAAATGGAGTGAAAGATTTTATTTCTCCTTTGCCCCAAAACAGCTCTGATTGCTATGTCACTCGCATCGCTCATCAACTCAAATGGCTGCTCCCAATCCGGAGCAATGACAATTGGTGCAGTTACTAATCTTCCCTTCAGCTCCTCAAATGCTTTCAGACAGGCATCATCAAACTTGAAGGAGACATCTTTCTTAAGAAGCCTGCACAAAGGAGAAGAAATTTACGAAAAATCTTTAATGAAACGACGATAAAAACCTGCATGGCCCAAGAAACTACGAATGACTTTTACTGATGTCGGTGGGGGCAATTTTTCAATCGCCTCCACCTTCGCTTTGTCCACCTGCAAACAGCTTTTGGACACCTTGTGCCCCAGGACTATACCTTCACGTACCATGAAATGACACTTTTCCCAGTTTAGCACCAAGTTTGTCTCTTCACACCTAGCAAGCACTTTATCAATTCATTAAACAATTATCAAAAGAACATCCAAACACAGAAAAATCATCCATGAACACTTCCACGAATCTTTCAACCATGTCAATAAAATAGCCATCATGCACCTTTGAAAAGTCGCAGGTGCATTACAGAGACCAAAGGGCATTCTCTTGAACGCATACGTGCCATAGGGACACGTAAATGTGGTTTTCTCTTGGTCCTCTGGGGCTATAGCAATCTGATTATACCCTGAATAACCATCTAAGAAACGGTAGTATTCCTGGCTAGCTAATCAATCAAGCATTTGGTCAATAAAGGGGAGAGGGAAGTGATCCTTGCGGGTGGCATTGTTTAATTTTCTATAATCTATGCAAATTCTCCATCCAGTGACAGTTCTTGTGGGAATCAAGTCATTATTTTCATTAACCACTACAGTCATCCCCCCTTTCTTAGGTACACATTGGACGAGGCTTACCTATTTGCTATCAGATATTGGAAATACAATACCTGCATCAAGCCACTTAATCACTTCTTTTCTTACCACCTCTTTCAAGATTGGATTTAGTCGGCGTTGTTGCTCTATACTTGGCTTGTGTCCATCCTCCATGAGGATTTTATGCATGCAGAAAGCTGGACTAATGCCTCTAATGTCAGACATCGTCCACCCAATTGCTCGCTTGTGGTCATGTAGCACTCTCAACAGCTTTTCTTCCTGCAATTTAGACAAGTCAGAAGAAACAATAACAGGTGAAGTGTCAGAACTGCCCAAATAAGCATATTGAAGGTGAGGGGGCAAGGGTTTGAGCTCCAATTTTGGAGCTTCCTCAATTGACGGCTTTGGAGGAGGCCCACTTGGCCTATTCAGGGGCTCAAAGGGATGTATCCCCTGCATGTAAGCACATGATGCATCTAGGATATGCATCATCTCCTCAACCTCCTCATCAATCTCCAAGCTATCAAACAACATAAGTGCTTTCTCTAAAGAATCGTCTAGATATACACTCGTGTCAAGAAGTTGCTCATCCACCTCCACAACAGATATCATCGAGAGCTCCTCATAATAGCGGGGGAAGTTGGATTGCTTTGTAGACATTAAAGACTGCTTCCTCGTCATCCACCCTCAAAATCATTTTTCCCTCTCTCACTTTAATAATTGCATCACCAGTAGCCAAGATAGGTCGTCCCAATATGATTGGAACCAATTCATCAGCCTCAAAATCTAGTATAATGAAGTCCGCAGGGAATATGAATTTCCCAATTTGCAGCAACACATCTTCAATCACTCCTTCAGGGTATGCTATGGACCTATCAGCCAGCTGCAACATCACAGTAGTTGGTCTTGGAGCTCCCAAACTCAATTGCTTGAACAAGGACAAGGGCATCAGATTTATGCTCGCCCCCAAATCGCAAAGAGCACGACCACATCAATATTACCAATTCGCACAGGAATGGTGAAGCTGCCAGGATCCTTAAGCTTTTGAGGGAGCTTGTTTTGGACCCTTGAAGTGCACTCCTCAGTAAATGCAACTGTCTCAAATTCAATCAATCTTCTCTTGTGAGCCACTATATCTTTTATGTACTTAGCATACTTTGGAATTTCATGAAGTACATCCACCAGTAGAATATTCAATTGAACCTGGCTCAACATAGAGAGAAATTTGCTGAACATGTGATCGTCATTCTTTTTCTGCAATCTCTGGGGGAAAGGTGGTGGTGGCCTTGTAGCATCCACTGGCTCTGAAGTTGCATCATTTTTCTTTGATTCGTGTGTTGCCTTAGGAATCAACTCCCCCTCAGGTATAGGCTTGTCTTTTCTCTTCTTTGGCACTTTCTCTAGTCCCCTCCCGTTTCTGAGTGTAACTGCATTAACTTGAGGATTCTTCTCTGTATCACTGGGGAGAGCGCCTGCAGGTCTAGTATTTTGATTTGTTGCTAACTGCCCCATTTGCCTCTCAAGATTTTTGAAATCGGTCCTGAGCTGTTGATTGTCAAGCAACAACTTCTTTAGCAAGTCATTTGTACTCTCTTCCATTTGTTGGGGTGGCTTCTGAGGTTGATTGAAATTTTCTTGGGGTCTATAATGATTCTGATTCGACTGATTTCCACTCCATGAGAAGTTGGGATGATTCTTCCAATTTGGATTATAAGTGTTCCCATATTGTGCATGCTGTTTTATTGGACCTCTTCTCTGTTGCCCCACATAGTATATGGATTCAGGATACGTGGGTCATATGTCACTCATATGACTGTCACCATATAGTTCGCAACAAATAGACATTTGTTGTAGATGTGTCATCAGTTGTGTTTGTTGCATTGTCATTCTGTTCATCTGATTTTCCAATTTTGCTATATCGGCTCTCATGGCTGAGAAGTCATCAAGTTCAATCAACCAAACTGCTTTCTGTTTAATTGCCCTTCGTGAATCCCCATCTCCTTGCCAATTATGATCATTAGCAGTGAAGTTATTTAGCAAGAGTTGGATTTCACTATACGGTCTCGCCATGCAACTACACCCATAAGCTGAATCAAGATTCATCTTTGATGCATCATCTAGCCCATCAACAAAAGTGTGACCCAATACCTCATCAGTCTGACAATGATGCGAGCAGTCTCTGAGTAGCTTCTTGTATCTTTCCCAAGCTTGACGAAGTGTCTCGCCATCCCTTTGTTCGAACCCAAGAATTTGACTCCTCAATGACTTTGTCTTCTTAGTGGGGAAGAACTTGATTAAGAATTTCCTTGCTAGTTCATCCCAAGTGTGGATTGAGTTCGCAGGCAACTTTTGCAACCATTCCTTAGCTTCCCCCAGCAGTGAAAAGGGAAATAGTGTCAGCCTAACATAGTCCTTGGAAATGTTCGGATAATTGTAAGTATCTGTAATTTCCAGGAAATTCTGAATGTGCCTCTGCGGGTCTTCATGAGATAGGCCCACATATTGCCCTGTGGACTGAATCAGCTGCACCATGTACTGTTTGAGTTCAAAATGCCCTGTGATATCAGGCTTCACAATAGCCTGAGTCATATTAGCAAGATTGGGCCTTGCGGCTTCAATCACCGCACGCTCTTCATTACCTGCCATCTCTATTGGCTGTGGTTGAACTACGATGTCCAACTCTCCTTCTATTCTAGTTCTAGCTTCGACTTCCCTTCTCACTCTGTGAAGTGTTCGTTCAATTTTAGGATCAAGAGGAAGGAGATTGTTTGCGCTTCTACTCCTCCGCATTCAAGAGAAGAGCCTGCGTTAACACAAACAAGGCAAACTGAAATTTAAAGCTTGAACAAATAACTAATAAAAGCTTAACTCAGTCAAGTTGCTAATTTCTAAGTCCCCGGCAACGGCGCCAAAAAACTTGTTGCAACCAAAGACACTCACGCAAGTGTACGCGGTCGTTAAGTAATAGAGTAGTGAGTAGAGTATCGTTCCCACAAAGACTTATGATTAACGTTTGACTGATCCAAACTCAATTAACTTATCGATTCAAGAGATTTCTCACAAGATATAAGTGACTAATTTACTACCCAAAATTATCAAGCAATGAATTAACTAGAAATCAAGCAAAACAAATAAACAATTTCGATTAACAATCAGTAGGAGAGAATATTCCAGGGTCACGGGTTAGCTAACAATCATATTGCGTTCTTGGCTTAGAATGACTAATTGATTTATATGGATTGTTGATTGACAGGATTGATGTTACTCTTAAGAATCTGTCGAGTCCTTACTCGCCTATTCAAGTTAACTTAATGCCTATATGTGTATGGAATTAAGATTAACAAGAATGCATTTACAATTCCTGTATTTCAATCAAGCAAGGCAATTAGGTATATGTCTATCCTAATTGCGAATCTGTTCCCCGATGCCCGGATTCAAGAACTTGCTCTATTTAATTCTATATGCAATCTAGAGTTCCCACTTTCGATTCAACTCTAGATTCGTAGATAGAATTTCACTGTTACCTACTCAGCAAAATAATTAAAAACAGAATTAATAAACAACCCAATATGATAAAATCAACTTCATCAAATTAAACTTCAAACATCAACAGTCATGTTTCACCCATGACCCTAGAACAATAGGGTTCTTAGCCACTCATGTTCATACAATCATCAAAAATAAGGTTTCAAACATAAAAATTAAAATCAATGAGTACTAGAAAAGGGATGAGAGAATTGATCAAATCCGTTTTCCCGAGTGTTTGGCTCTTTTGTTCTCCTCTCAAAGTCACGTTCCCCCCTTCAAAATAGGTTTAAGTTGGCTTTTATATCAGTTGGGGGCGTCTTGGGGGTTAAAATAATCGAGTCCTAGTCGAAACAGGACAACTTCACGTTCCGAGCGTCCAGGGCAGCGTGGGGCGCTAGCCTCGGCGCCAAAAATATTTAGGTTCTGTAAATTGCGCCACAGCCAGCGCCCCACGCTGGTTGTGGAACTCAAATTTCAGTTTTTGCTTTTTCTTCCCAATAACTTCAGGTTCCGAGCGTCCAGGGCAGCGTGGGGCGCTATCCCCGGCGCCAAAAGTATTTAGGTTCTGGAAATTGCGCAACAGCCAGCGCCCCACGCTAGCTGTGGAACTCAAATTTCAGTTTTTGCTTTTTCTTCCCAATTTCGCTCCAATTCGCGCCATTTTGTCCCAAATTGCATCCGTATGATTCCTACACATAGAAATACCACAAATGAGCATAAATCATCATATTAAACATCTCAAATCATCGAAACATGAGCAAAATGCAAGGCGATATATATCAAAACATACATACTTTAAGCCGATTATCAGAAATGACAACAACAAGTCTTACTTCAACACATAGTTCCACAATACCAATCTCAACTTTGAGTAAAAAACCCCCCATCAATACCAAATTCAATAAAACATGACAAAAAATATCTCAACACCTCGAATAGCTAGTTTAAACATGAACAATATGATCAAAAATACAACATTTACAAGATTAAGTGTCAGTCACATGCTATGACTTGACAACAATGTATAGATACTCGTCACCTCACCTATACGTTATACTCAACATCGAAACACGTAACAGGTAAGCAAATAACGCCTAATCCCTCAAGCTAAGGTTAGCCACGACACTTACCTCGCTCCTTTGGCCAAACTCAAGGCTCAATCACCGCTTTTTCCTTCACACAAGCCTCTGGACCAATAGAATCTAGCAAATTACCAACCAAACAATTCAATTTAAGCCTTAGGAACTACCCATGATAGCAAGGAATTCAATTTAGGCCATTTTTTAAAAAAGTCAACACCAGGGCCCGCTTGGTCCAAACCCAAAATTCGGATCAAAACCCGATTACCCATTCGCCCCCAAGCCCAGGTATACAATTGGTTTTGGACTCTGACCTCAATTTGAGGTCTAAATCCCCAAATTTCAATATGTCTAGCTTCTACCCAAAAATCCCCAATTCCACCATGAAAAATTCTAGATTCTAGGGTGAAATCTTGTAAAAACAGGTAAAAGATTGAAATAAACTAGTTAAGAATTACTTACTTATTATTTGGGGAAGAAAAAGTCTTTGGAAAATCGCCTCTTGTGTTCCAGGTTTTGAAAAATGGGAGAATGAATGAAAAATCCCGTCCAAAATTGTTTTTGACCAGTTGCAGGTATCGCATTCGCGATTTGCGAACCCCACAAATGCGAACTTTACTTCGCAAATGCGAAGACTGACCTGGACCTGCTAACATCGCAAATGCGAACAAGTGTTCGCAAATGCGACTTGAGCTGATCGCAATTGCGATCCTGAGCTTCGCAATTGCGAAGGTCCCCTCCCAGCCCTACTGCTCGCAAATGCGATCTTTCTTCGCAAATGCGAGGCTCGCATTTGCGAGCTAGACCTCGCAATTGCGAAGTCTGTAAACCTGAAGCATACCAGCAAATTTTCTTAAGTCCAAATCACTTTGTAGCCTATCCGAAACTCACCCGAGCCCTCGGAGCTCCAAACCAAACATGCACACAAGTCATAAGACATCATACGAACTTGCTCGTGCGATCAAATCGCCAAAATAACATCTAAAACTATGGATTTAACACCAAAACTCATGAAATTCCTAGGAACACTTTGAAATTCCTATTTTCACAACCGGATGCCCGAATCACGTCAAATCTACTCCGATTTTCACCAAATTTTACAGACATGACTTAAATATTATATTAAACCTGTACCGGGCTCCGGAACCAAAATACGGGACCGATACCAATGAGATCAAACATTAATCAATTTCTTTAAATCATTAGATTTTCAGACTTATAATTTGTAACAAAAATTTATTACTCGGGCTAGGGACCTCCGAACCCGATTTCGGGCATACGCGCAGGTCCCATATTTCAATACGGACCCACCGGGACTGTCAAAATACGAGTCCGGGACCGTTTACTCAAAACGTTGACCGAAGTCAACTAAATCAACTTTTAAAGGTAAAAATTATTATTTTTCTCAAATTTCCACATAAAGGCTTTTCGAAAACGCGCCCGGACTGCGCACGCGAATCGAGGAGGAATAAATAAGATTTTGAAGGCTTCATAACACCGGATCGAGTTCTAAAATATGAGATGACCTTTTGGGTCATCACAAGTTTTTTCCTATTTTTATTTGAAAAAAGGAAAACAAGTTCGATAGGAGATAAAAAAATACTCTATTTGTTTCAAAGAAACGGATTCCTTTTTATATTTAGAGGTAATATAATTCTAATTTTTTTATTTTTACCATTAATGATAAACTTTTTCTATCACAATATATTATGTCATATATAAAACTACAAGTTTCAAAGCTTATAGCCACACAACTTTCTTGACATGTTAATTTAAGATTACAAACTCTAAAAGTCTTGATTTCTTTCTTAACCTTCGTGCCCAGTAAAATAAATTTTATATAAATTGATATGGAGAGATCAGGATTTATGAACATTTTATACAAGGAGAAGAAAAATGCTCCCAGTTAATATTTTCGAGATGTCTCAAAAATACTTTTTTGACCATATATTTCCCAAAGCAAGAACTAAAATTTCTAACTTAATTAAAGAT